GTTTTAGGCGGTGCGGCGCCCACTCAACTACCGGCCACTGTCAACTGGACCGCACAGGGCTTAGTAACACCGGTTAAATATCAGGGACAAGTATGCATTAATTTTACATTATTGTATCTAGCTCAATGAAATGATCATCATTTAGCTCATCTTACATAAATAAATTGAACAAATTGTTCTTTTACTTCACTAGTGTGGCGACTGCTGGACATTCTGCTCTACCGGTGCGATTGAAGGTAATAGTATTGATAATTAAATTATATAATGTAAAAGTTGCCAGTGAAACCTAGGGCAAAGATTAGCCCTTATTAGCACCTATTACTGTTTCAGGTCAGCTGATGAAAAACACGGGGCAATTAGTCTCGCTGTCGGAGCAGAATCTCAACGACTGTTCGCAAAAATATGGTAGTGAGGGCTGTAATGGCGGCAATCCTGAGGAGTCGTTTCAATATGTCATCGATAACAATGGCATCGATACGGAGGCCTCCTATCCCTTCCTGATGGCCGATGGCAATCCCTGCAATTATAACCCTGCTAATGTGGGCGCGCAGATGACCGGTTTCGTGCAGATACCATCGGGCAATGAGACGGCGCTCCAGTTGGCTGTGGCCGCCATCGGGCCGATCGCCTGCGGCTTCGACGCGAGCGGCGATGTCTTTCAGTTCTATAGCGAGGGCTACTATAACAACCCTCAGTGTAGTAATGTTAACCTGGACCACTGTATGACCCTGGTCGGCTACGGCACTGATGAGCAGGGTCGTGATTATTGGCTGCTTAAGAATCAATATGGCACCGATTGGGGTGTGCTCGGTTACATGTTCCTGCCTCGCAACGCGAATAACTATTGCGGTATTGTGACTGACTCGAGCTACCCGACCGGGGTCACCGCTTAGAAAATAAAGTTATTAAAAAAATAAAATATTTATAAAACTAAAACAACTCATTTGAAACTCTTGAGTGTATCAGAAGAGATAACCAAGGTGCGGTTAATTATAGTACTATGCTAATAAATTTTAGTATCTATATTAAAATTTCCCTCCACCTTGGCAAGTGCTAGTCCATTAACAATTCGAGGGCATTGATGAGGAAATGTATGCAGGTCATATTGAGAGACAGAATTATAAACAAAAAATATTTTTGTTGCATATGGGATGAGGGCTGACCTGAGAAGGTTATTCCAATCATTGTATGGTATATATGAACTTATGAAAGACAACCACCAGCCCATTCTATACAAACCTATACAAACCTGGTCGTTTATATACTAAGACCGAAGCTTTGGTCTATAGTGAAAATATTGATGATTTTATTGATTTAATTGTACACATATACATGTGCTTGTGTAATACACATTAAATACACTACTTTATAATTTTATAATAAAAAACAATTATTATTATTAGAGCCAGAAAGCGAGAAAAACAACTTTAATGATGAGTAGAATTCATTAATATCTCCTATTTTTATAATAATATTTTCATAAAATAATTATTTGTTTTAAAACGTAATATTTCTCACATGCGGTATAAACTCGACACAGGAGGGGATTTCTCATTTTTTGTCTCAAGTCTCCCCCTAGACTGTAATGTTAATATCTTTTCCATAACCCAAGGGGGTGTCACACAACCCAAACCCCCCTGTAAGGTTTCATTAAGCATCTATGATCACAGAAGTTAATCTCAATATGTTATTATATATTTTTGAAAATAATTTATATGTTCTTAAATAATACTCTTTTAATGTAAGTTATATTCATTGCATAATTTGACACAGAATTGTGCGCAGAATTAATGCCTTGGATACGAAAATTAGACTAAAGTATGAGTAGATTAATGAAATAAAATTAAAAATAATTATATTGTCTGTAGTTGCTCTCGATAAAAAATGTAAATTTATCTTGCGAATGAATTGTCGAATGTATTGTTTAGCGACATTTAATATCAGCAAAACTTTTAAATAAATCACAAAAATTTAGATTTTAAATGAAAATAATATCAATGCATTCGTGTATTAATGTGACGAGAAATATATTTTCGAATAACAATCACATAATTATAATTAATTAAATAATTAATATAATAATTGTTATAATTATAACATTTAATTTGTTATGCTAAATAATCGGAAAATAATCAATTCTTAAAATGTACAATATATATGCGTAGAGGGGGTGTATGGACTAATATCCCCCTTTCTTAGGAAATAGCTATTATCTTGTCAGGAAAAATAGATCAATAATAAAATACTAATCGTACGATAAAAACTATTTATATTAATAATGCATTGAATATTCTCTGATTTGAGTGAAAAATTTTATGCGATAGTTTGCTTAATAAATTCATAAAGTATCATGATCACTATCAAAGATTTCACCTTGCCTGGTGTATTAATTGATTATTGAAATTAGTATTTATTTATTAACCAAACTACAATAAAGACTAACAATGAAATCATAAATAAATAATTGATTTGAAAATTTTATTATAAAAATGTGTTAATATTTATAAGATATAAATGAGATAATAATAGAAGTTGCATCTTGCTCAACTATGGCCTGGTTTGATATAGAGCGATGTGGCCATTATAATTATGGCGACAATTACCTTGGCAATCATACCGGTAATCAAACGCTAAATATAATATCTTTCAATCAGGTTTGAAAATTTTTTAATATAATATGAAATAATTTGAAATAATTTAAATAATTTGAAAATATAATAATGAGATAATTTAATCGTTAACTCAATTAGAGAATGTGTGGATTTGATCAGCAAATCATAGGCGCTCTCAGCTCTCGTATCTTCAATGAGTATAGGATTGTACTCACGATACTTAAGGAATGGCCATGGTTATATGACTTTATGTCTCGGACTAATAAGGTAAAGTATTACTAATATTAAATCTATAAAAGTAAAAAATTAAAAATAACAATGTTAAAAATATTGATATAGAATATTGACCTTGCCCTTACAACTATGAGCATGGATGATTATCTTTTTACTTTCTCAAATGCGCAATGGTATAGAGATGAGTATAACCAGGTCATATTGAGCGCACAGTACAAGGAGCATCATAACCTGCTAATAATTCTTAGTATATATCCAGGATTATTATGGCTTTTAATACTGATTACAATTCTCGTAATTACACTCTTTCAATATAACTACCGGTATTTTCATATTAAAGGTATAGTTCGAATGCAATGTATATATTTGAGCCTGATCAGTTTTTTTCATAATAGATCGCATGCATAATAACGGTTCAACAACGCGAATAAGTGATGAATTTTTGCATACAATTAGGCATTTAGTTAATCAACCGTTGAATAGACAACTAAATCAATATAATATTTTGCACAATATTTGGGCATTTGTTGCCCTGGTATTAATCTATCACTTCTATGCGGAGATATTATCGAAAATATTTAACCAGGAAATCAAAAATATTAATTCTATGGATGAGTTAATCGACTCGAATCTAACGGTTATGGTTAGCAAAGGCTCATTTCTTTGGTATATATTACGGAATCATTATGATAAACAAGAACAATTGGATAGAAAACTGGATAAATTAAATAAATTGAACAGGATCATAATTATTGATAATGTTAATGGTCCAGAACATCCGGATTTTAAAGTTAAAAAGAATTTATTGCATATTTTCATACATTTACTTTATAAATATAATATTATTTTGAATTTTTTTATTGATATTAAATTTTCTATTTATAAAATTAAGGCAATCTATAAACGAGTGGCCAATAGAGAGAGCGCTTATCTAAGCGAAGGATCGAGTATTAGATATGGATTGATATCTAATCTGGAGATGAGTTTAGGCATTAGTCGCGAGAAATATAAGCCAATACTTCTCGGACATCCAATTAATAAAATATTTACCAAGGAGAGATTAAAGCTATTAAATATGTGGGTATACTATCAATGTGAAATATTCTGATAATTCCCTCACCCACAAGGATGACCAGATTCTCCTCGAACTCAGGGGGGGGTACCTTTTGAAAAAACCTCAACAGATCTATTCTCCATGACTATAGACGCTAATGTTATGTTTTTCGCCGATCGGAGGGGGGAGGTACCATAGAGATCGGTCTCAAGGGGGAATTGCCAAAATAGCCCTGGACCCCCCCCCCCTCTGGCCGTCTCTTCTCCGCCCTTGAACACCAGCCCTTTGCCATTACAGGTTGTATTGCTTTTCATTATAATATTTGTCTACATTAGGATCAAAGCAATGGTCGAAACGGGAATTAATATTAATTGCAAGAATAGAGAGGAAGTGAGCGCTCAGTTTTATGGAATAAATCTATTAAAAAAGTGGAAATCGAAAAATTTCGTCGAATCTCACGATATCAATAGTATGAGAGCTATTCAACTGAGCTTTATATCCGATTTATTCATTGCACTTACTTTTATGCCTGCCTTAGCTATCATTATATTATTAAGTGAGCTTGCAAACTATTATTATTTTTAAGATCAAACATGTAAAATTATTGCTAAATATAAATACATAGAATAATAGGTTAGAGCATCAAGGCAATCTAGTAGTGTAAATATACGATTAAACTGTTGTAATACATTAAATGTCTATTAGAATCACTCGTTCCCTACACTGAGATATCCATATGTGCTCATGTTTCATTAAGTTGGGTTATATACTCAAAAGTTACAAGGGAAATGTTATAATGGAAATTGAGACATTATTTTTTTTGAAATTTTGATTTGATTTGACCATTAATTTGGCAGTAATTTAGGGATGACAAGACACCTCAATCCTAGGGGGTATAGCTTTTGTAAAAAACGAGATAAATATAAAGTTTCAAAATTTTAAATTTTATTAACTATTTATTCTCTAAGAATTAATATTAATTTCTACAATTTTTTTCAAAATTTATTATATAATAGATGTGTTTAGTATTTTCTAATATCTAATCAATTCATTTTTAAGTCATGACACTTTTTAAAATTGTAAATTTTCACTATCTCTCAAATTAATTATTTTTATTAAAAAGACAATTATTTCAAAAAAATCCAAATTATTTCAAATTGGAGGCCATGTTATCAATATGTGCAGAGGAAGGGCGTGTATTAAAGGATTGTATTAACAAACAATATTGTTGCAATGAAATTGAACCTGATGAGCTGATAAAATTAATAAACACATTAAATTCATTCCTATTATCCGTAGCCAAATGCAAGATAGTTTTGATTCTAGTACATTCAAGTTATCAACAAGTAGAATATATAGGGAAATACACTGTATTGATAGATATTTACAAACTGTACAGGGTAAAAAAGGAAGGTGTTCCGTTATTAAGGCTCGTAAATGGTGGTAGTGAGACATGACTACCCTGGTCATCATCAGTTATTTATGTAATTATACTGTTATACTCGTATAGACCCAGGGTCATACATGTATTAGCAATTAGTTGTTCAAGAATTTATACGTAAAATGATTTAATATTTTCATGTCATTTATTCTAAAGCTAAACTTAATTTAGTTTATTTAAGCTACTATTAAAAGTAATTAATTTATATTTTTAAAAATTATGTAATTATAAGTCAATTAAAAATAAAACAAATAATTATCACATAATTTAATGTGTTTTGTAAACAATTTTAATGATGTCATAAATCTATTGCATGAGCCGATCAAACAACGGCCCCATTTGGTCGGACCATACTTTATAACCAGCTGTAGACAAATGAACATGGTCAGTGCGAAACATGGAGTCCAATTGTTTGCCGCTGGCGTCCGTCAAATGAGAGCTGATATCGATGTAAAAGACGGTCTTGTCGTCCGCAACCTTCTTGAGCTCAGCGTTGATTAGTTTAGACTTTTCGTTGGAGACGTGGTCTCCGTAAGGGGTGTGGCCCACGACTATTAGCTTACTCTGCGGCGATTTGGCCCTCAATTCAGTGATAATCTCTTTGTGTGCCCGAAGGACGTCCGACCACGAGGTCGATGTGTGGGAACCCATAAAATTTTCACCTTGTGTATAAACAAATTTAAAGGAACAATTAATAAAATGCCCGCGGTAAAATTAAAAAATACTGTTACTAGAGACTGTAAATGTAATTTAATTTTTTCTACTTGGACACTATGTAAAACCGAATATTAGCTTGATTAGTGTATTCATGTGACATACCGGGTCCACTGCCCACCACAATGACCTTGGGATGCAATCCGTCCAACTCTTTATTCTGGATCCTCCACAACACACCAGTCGTTTGGTCGCCTCCTATGCCGTAATTGACGGCCCCTTTAGCCGCGAAGCCGTTCCAGTATTGCTTCCCCTCCTGTTGCCAGTACTCCGTAATGGAGGCGCCAATGAACACGGCCTTAACCTGGTCCTTGTGCTCACTCGTATACTTCAGAAACTCGTTATGTTTGCCTAACCCATAGCCCTGTTCAGGCACCGGTTCCCACGGGTTCTGAGCCCAGCATAAGTGGACGGACAGCACCGACAACACGACTGTTCGCAACATTATTATCAAAATACTTGTGTTTTTCTAATAAGATTTAAACAATTGTTTTGTGTGAAGCTTTTATATTATTTTCTTATCGCTAGAGTTATGGGAAACATACAGTATTTGTCAAACATATTGTCTATTTTATTTGCTATAATAGATAACAAGGCGGCGTTCACAAAGTACGTACGCACCAATTTGACCCCCTCCCCCTATATGTCCATCGTACATATGAGTTTACCAATGTTAAATTAACATGGATACATATTCTTTGGCATGACACCCTCCCTTTCTGACTATGTACGTACATTGTGAACGCCGCCCTAACAATTATGCCAATGTTTATCATTAGATTCACTTTTGATTGTATGGGCTTTTTAGTGCACTATTCAGGATATATTCGATCAAGGTAACAAATTAAAAGATTTACTGTAAATGTTTATAAATTATGTTTCTATGATAAGCTAGTACAAAAGTAACAAATATAATTTTTAAATAAAATCCTTATCGCACACTAATATAAAAAGTTAATATGAATTAGTGAAAGTTATACATAGATATAAATTATTTATATTATACATGATTTTTGTTTTAAATGAATAGATGTCATATTTGACTAGACCAATTCATAAGCCATTATTATGTATAATACGGAATAAATAAATAACATTAAATTTTCTTAATTCAAATCATATATTAAGGTTTTGATATTTTTCATATTATTACCATCTTTTGCAAAAATCTAATATAAATGATTAAACTTATCAAATAATTTATTTTCTGTGACAATACAGTGTACGACTGCTCGCTAAACTCTATTTCAGTACAGAGTATATGAACTAGATTCAATTAAAAGCACATTTTCGAAATTATATAATTCATGCTTACAATTTACTTACAATATAATATTTTATTTTAGTAAAAACTATTTTCATTATAATTTGTCACATAATGTACAGAATATTCTTTGCTAAACTATTGTATAGAATATTCATGATATCTTACAAAAGCCATGAATTATGATTCACCAGTGCAATAAATTAGTTTAAATGGCATTTTAGAATAAAATAATTTATTTATTAATAAGTACTACCAATTCAATGATAATTTTTTGAGAAAATATTTGGCAAACACATTTTTTTGAACCGGTGTTTAACGCTCACAATTTAGTATAGATATGATTGCACCTGCAGTACAAAAGATTTAAACTTTACTGAGAAAACTAATAATCTAATTAATACTCAACACCTGGATAAACTTTATAAATAATAATAATTATTTTATTAAATCTACAATATATGCAACTATATAACTATAAAAATATGCAAAAAATAATTTTCAATATAATTTTAAAGTTCATTATAAAGAATAATTATATTTATTTTTACACAAAACACAATATTCTTATTAATTGTCAAAAACATTGACTTTAGATAAACAAAGGAAACAAATATTTTATTACTATTTGTCACACAATCCGCATGAATATTATCTACCAGTGGTGGCCAGACATACGGCTTGACACAACATACGGGAGGGACAGCGTATATGTAGATACTTGGGTATAAGTGCCTGACTACCATTCATTTACTGCTATTTTTCAACTTTTGGTAGGGAGGTGTACACATAAACCTATATGTAATAGTTAAAATAGCAAGGTAGTTAATATTTTCATCATAAAGAGACAGGGGGAGACCTGTGGTGACCAAGTGACGTATTGACAAACGTGTCTTATAAGAACTCGAGAGTAATTTTGGTGTCTTTTATACATTATAATTATCGTAATTCTTTTAGAGTAAAATAAGTCAATCTATTTATCAAACCTATTGAACCGCAAATGATAACAATAAAATCAGGTTCAGAATACTTATATTATCTATAGTATTATTGTGCGTAAAACGCTGATAAAATAGCGTTTTCACAAGTAGACAAAGCCACACATCTGGCGCCGCATCGATACTAGCGACCGTCAGCTCCGGCCATGGATTTAGAGTTTAATGATATTAAGACCCAAACATCTAATAAGCATCACATGGATGACCTTGCTAATTCATCCCTGTGTACAATAGTGAGAATAGTCTGGCACAAACCATAGAGGATAAGGCCATGATGTGGAGAGCCGTTCTCATCCAGACCGGAATTTGCCACCTATCATAACCGTATACTAACCCGATATTACCGTAATAAGTACATGAAACTTACCTCCGCCTATTCTGATGATATGTTTAACCGGGAGTTTGTTCGGACTAAAAATAAGGGTCTCATGAATGTTATATTTAAAGTGGCCGGGATGACTCAGGCTATTGAGTATGCTGTGATCAAGGTGATGCTGCTCATCAATGGAAAGGACATTATACTTACAATTCGCTCAATAGGTACGTAATTTAATAATTAATATTTATAGATACCGTAATACTTTTGTTAATTAATATATTTGACGTAATGTTTATTGATGTCATATATCATTGAATAAAACCAAAGCTCAAGTATTTTGTTGACAAAAATATAACGTAGATACTATATTAATTATAAATATGTTTAATGTACGGTTGATATAAAATACACTTTTTGCATTTATGATACAGACCGTGTTTGGTATCTCCTATTCCGGTACTACACCTCTCGGCAAGAGTAGGTCTGGCCTTAAACGGTGGATAGTATTGGCATATGATTGGGCTATAATGGCATTATTCATGTACTTTGAATGGATCGCCTATTCTGATGATATGTTTAACCGGGAGTTTGAAAGGACTAAAAATAAGGGTCTCATGAATGTTATATTTAAAGTGGCCGGGATGGCTCAGGCTATTGAGTATGCTGTGATCAAGGTGATGCTGCTCATCTATGGAAAGGACATTATACTTACAATTCGCTCAATAGGTATGTAATTTAATAATTAATATTTATAGATACCGTAATTATAAAGGTTATAAATTATAGGAGCAATATCAACTAATTTATTTGAATATTTCTAATTAAATTATTTAAATACACAGGCTACGTTAAGTCTACAAAACAAATGCAATTAATCTACTTGTTCATGGTGTTCATGTGTGTGGGCACATCCCTGGCCAATGTATTAAACTTCGTCGAGTTTGACCAGCCATTTATGGAGATTTATGACCATGACAAGATTTTGTTTACTTTCTATGTATTAACCGGGTTTATACAGGGAATGGCTAAATGCTCTATTGTCACCATGCTTATTTACTCAGCATTTGCTATAAATCAACATTTAATTGGTGATTACTTTATAGTTAAAATAGATACTATATTATTAATGAAATACTATTGTAATAAATATTTATAAAAATTTATTTATATTTTTTTAAGGCATTACCGAAAACTTGAAATCAAATGCTATAAAACATACGACACATATGAGTGAGACTATCATGGATTTGGCGGCAGCCGTGGACTCAATGAACCGATCGATGGGACGCATAATGTTCGTCAAAATAGCCGCGAATTCAGTGATGATGTCCGGCTGTCTGTGCACATTGGCTGTGGTAAAGCTCGGCCTACAGAACATCATTGCATTGACAATGTATGCCATCCTATCCTTTACAGACATATGGGTTTCATGTCATTCATCTCAGATGATAATCAACGCAATGACAGCCCTCTGTAAACGGGCCGAGAGGTGTATATCGTTAGGGGAGAGTCAAGCACAGAATACCGGCGCTGAAGGGGTTCAGGTCTACCGACAACTACAGACAATTGTGTCGATGAAAAAGTATATGCGGTTTAATGTGTGCGAGTTGTTTGACTTGAAGGATGTGACTGTGCTGGCTATTATCAGCTATGTTTGTAATTATGCGGTTATTCTCGTACAGACCCAGGGTCATGTTTGATAAATTTACCATAATGATTATGGATGTAATCTTATTAAACAAATAAGTCTAAAATAAGTTAATCGTAGCTTATTTATGCAATATTCATTAAATGATTTTAAATCAATAAAATTATTAAATTTAAAACTTAATTTTTATGTAAAACTAAAATTAAAATATAAAATCCGGTAATTCATTTTAAAATTCAAACTGTTCATAAACATAAATTACCTAACTTAAATTTATTAAAATACATTATTTTAATTATAGAAATGTAAAGACAATCAAATAAATTTTCAATATCATTATAATATAAAATAAATTTTCATTTTTCAATAAACAGAATATTCTTATGAATTGTCAAAAACATTAACTTTTATATAAAGTGTTTGACAAAAGGGTGCGTAGTCGTTTATTTACTGTTAAAAATCGTAGAATAGAGCTAGAACAAAATAAAAAATTTTGCAACTATTGTTTTTTGGCACCAATCTATCGGTATGCCAAATTTTATCCAGACATAAGGGGAACGGTAGATATGCCTGTCCATCAATAACTCANGGTAGATATGCCTGTCCATCAATAACTCAAAAACTATAAGATGTAGGCAAGTTTTGATTTTTGGAAATTGTGGGCAGGGTAAATGTGAGAAAAGCAATTTCTGGATTTTGAGATATTTTGCCTTATTGATTTTTTAAAATTCTTTATTTGTGAAATTGTGATGATTTGAAATTCATAAATCTCAGCAACGGCTCAATGGATCAAGGTGATCTCAACTTCGTTCGAATTATCTTTCAAAATACTAAAATTTATTTGCTTGCACAAATACTGTATTTTGTGCACAAAACTTTCTGGGTTAGAAATAAATTTTCTCTATGTATTTATTTTATATCTGTTTTATTGTTTTACACCTTTACCTGTATTTTCATAATACATAGAGAAAATTTATTTTTAACCTAGAAAATTCTGTGAACGATATACAGTATCGGTGCAAGCAAATAATTTTTAGTATTTCAAAAGAGAATTCGAAAAAAGTTGAGATCACCCCGACCCATTAAGCCGTTGCTGAGATTAATGAATTTCAAATCATCACAATTTCACAAATAAATAATTATTAAAAATCAATAAGGCAAAATTTCTCAAAATCAAGAAATTAGTTTTTTCACATTGACCCTGCCCACAATTTCCAAAAATCAAAACTTGCCAACATCTT